TTTTAGGGAAATGCTTTAATCCCTTACATATATAAACATATATACCTTTTCGCGTCAGATTAAAGTATAAAAGTTACTTTGATACATGCTTCTATTAGTGCCTTGAAGATATTTATTCTTGCTGTATACATATCAAGAAAATACAGCTATAAATTAAATTCCTATAAATTTGTAGTGGGCAGCTAAACTATGGCTTATTCTCTCTTGAACGACTTACAGCCCTAAAGTGATACTTTTGAGTGGGAATAAAGGTTCAGTTATAGATCCAAACGTAAGAATAAAAAAGTGATCGCAGGTTTACAGCCTTATTAAAGGACCAAGTTCACTAATCCGTAGTGCTTCTCGTTTCGAACCACCGACTAAATTCTGCAACTATGGCTGGGTAAGTTATCTTGAAGGCCTAAGTCCCAAATATGTAAACAATGAACCCATTTCCCCCTTTGATTACATGAATGCGTTACACCAGCTGGATTAGCGTCCTACTTAATGTTTACCATATCAAACTTACTATTGAAGGATTCATTAAACTAATTGAATGTTGAACCAGAATATACCGTCGCTGTCGCAACGGCCGACGACCCCTCATCGCCGTTCATTAACTTATTCCATAGCCCAGGCTCATACACCAACTCCACACTTCCCTATTTCTGGATTATCTTTGCCCACGCCCCTAGAAACCATTTTGTTAAGACCTCCCATTAAAACTGTACGATCGAATGATTCTGTTGAACCTAATCTACTTCCGCCTCCACAAGCCCCACTAACAGAGCTGATGGATGGTTTGGCTGACTTAGATCAAAATTTACAACATATTCAATCTGTACACGATTGCGTGAACTCGTTTACTGAGAGCTTCTCCAGTTTGATCTACGGTCTGGAAATGAATGCCTGGTGTTTTGAGTTCAAGGAGGCGCCTACGAAATTGCATTTAAAACGGTACCAGAATATTCCGCTGCCAACGAGTTTGCATACTACTTCAAACAACCGCATAAGCTCATATTTTCGAAATCATAACGAAACTAACCGGCCATCATATACGGCTATGAATCGCCGTTCTAGTGTTATCTCTCATCCCACGGCTACTGCCAGTGCTGACGGTGATGATTTTGACCCGAATGCAACTTACATGACAGATGAGATATCTTTTGTTGAGAGGCCCATAGAGTCAAAGCCAATATCCTCAATGCTTCAATCTAAAGTGCAAAGCAGACTTCAGAATAGATCCCAGGGAACCACCCGCACGCAGCCCCATCGAGCTGTCAAGTTAACTAATGGAATGAGTAGTTTATCATCAACAGCCCCTACAGCCCCTACAGCCCCTACAGCTCGACGACCAGGACAACGGGGTGCCAGAGGAGGTATGGCTACACGGGCAGCTGGAGCTCAGTCTAATAATCTAGACTCTGGAGATAGTAATAGTAGGAGTGGTATGAGTAGTCGTATGCCAACGACGAGAAAAACTGAAACCACGACGGGGAGTCGACAACATCATCGGGTAACAAAGCCCACACGAGGCAGACCTGGTTCGGTGTGGAGGTAGTATATAATTTTGATACTAGAAAGTTTTGAAATTAAAAAATTTAAAATGATAGTAGTAATAATAGTAATAATAATAATACAGGTGAAATATCAGCCGTGAGAGACGACCATAGATACAGAAATATAATGAAACATAATGAGGCCATGCACTTACCAAACTTCGGACTGACTAAATTATACGTTCGACTAATAAAACCCCTCTAACAACACCAAAAATATTAACTTCCTTTATTCCCTTCCATTTGCTATCCCCACGATTAGACAAGATTTCTATAAATTCCGGGATCCCGCCACCAACTCCAAAGTAAATCTGCTTAGCAGCTACTAAAGCCTTAGACTTTTGTTGCATAAGACTAAGCATTGTCTGAGAAAATACGGGGATAGTTTCAGGCTGATAGATTGTTTCTGAGGCTAGAATAAGATCATAACTAGGGGCTTCAGCGGCTTGAACGAATTCGGGAGACCATGCACCAGAGATGAAGTCAAGGCTAATAAATTTGGTCTGGAGTGTTTCAATGAAGGCTTGCACTAGCGCAGCAGTAACCTCCAACTCGCCCTCACGGGCCTCAAACTTAAAATTAATACTGTCATTATTTTGCTGGTTGGAAATATTGGCCATACCATCATTGTTGTTAACCTCGGTTCGTTGTAATTGCATAAGAACTTCGGGGGACAGAGTAGAAGCCCAGGCAACCAGTAAATTAGGCGCGGTGACCAAACGAAGAACACTGTCATTATAGTCGGCCAAAGTTAATTTGAATGGGTTTTCGGCTGTGAATGGTAATTGCGTTGGGGAAGATAGCAATCGCAACATGATGTACATACCTGGTAAACCAGTACCACAACCCATTTCTAAAATAGAATTAAGATTCTGGCCCAAGTAATTAGCTTGGTCATTTTCAAGTAAATCAATAAGGTCGAAGGTACATTCCCAGCTCTTAAGGCCACCCTCATAAAAGGTCTTACGCACATCTTCATTGGAGGTACCCAAGAGGATTTCATCAGTCTCTGAAAGGTTATCTTCAGACATTAGCTGATGCTTAACATCAAACAAATCACGGCGGAAAAATAACAGATCCTTGTTATGAGGCGAAGCAACTGCTGAGTATGAAATACGTTTAGAGATTAAGGGAGTTAATAGTGAAAGTAATGTGTGATGACGGGGCTGATAAGCCTCAGAGATGACGGGTTGATTCACCTGTATAGCTGGCTGTTGCTCTTGTAGATCATGTTGATGATCTTGAATATCAGACTCTTCAAAGTCTTCACCCGAGAAACCAAATGAAAATGACATTTTTAGTATTTATTTTGGACTCAAGTTTGTGTAAAAAAGGTGGTGGTAAATTCATATAGCAAAAACGAATTTGGATCATTGAGATCTCTCCCAATCGAAATTTTTGTTTCATCGCTTTTGGGACTAAGGTTGGCTTCACTTCAGTTTTGAGGCTGTTCGAAGATATCAGCAAGAGTTAAGAAAACATAATTCCAATGTCTACGATAAAGTGAGTTAATATAAGTCATACCTAAGAATATAGTGATAGAAATTCTAACCTTATGATAGAGTATCCCGTAAAGATCTATACGATGATTCATCCGAGTACCAAAGCGATAGCGACAGCGAAAGTGGTCTGACATCCTATGGTTATGTGCCTGATTTTGAGATTGAGGAAGTCCAAGTAGATGTAACTGCAGAAGGAATAGACTTCAATCAAGATGCTAAAGAACATAATGCTTTTATAACATCCGAGAGTACCACTCGAGAAGAAAAAAATCAAGCCGATGAGGAGGCATATGCGTTTAACCTTTTTAGTTGTGCACCCACTGTGCCAACAAGTTTGGTATCATCTGAAACCATGGAAATCGATGATAAAGAATCTCCCAAACAAAAAGAAGATAATACCCGTATGATCAGATTAGATACACCAGACCCCGACGAGTTTTTCATCCCCACATTCCGCCCAGAGGGATATTATCGTCACACAGCTACTCCTGAATTATTGGCTCAGTATAACCAAGCAGCTGTTACAGGACAAGATATTTGGGCAGCCGCATTAAATTTGACTACCCCTAAATTTGGTACTACTAAAGGCAAATTGCTAGAATTCAGCCAGCTAGTGCAGGCGGCCAAGAAAGAGAAACGGGGCTTAGGAAGACCTGGCGCTAAGCGTCGAAAAATACTTAAGGCCGCTAAGACTAATAAAGCCCAAAATAACAATAATAGAAACAGTGGTGCAGCACCATATGGTGAGAGATTCTATGGTCCGAGTCGGATCTATGGTAACGATTTTTTTAAGGACATCAATGAACAGAATTTTGGATTCCGAAGCAACAGTTTCAGAATTAATACGAGAGGGGGAAAAGATAGGGGTGGTTTTAAGGGTGGTTTTCGGGGTAGAGGTGGTGCTAGAGGTGGTAAAGGGAAGGATTAAAGTAATCTAAGGCCAATTTGACTTGAAGTAGACTGAAAAGTTTGCAATTGTAATATATATGTGAAATAACCAATTTAATCATTTGTTAGGGGGAACTACCAAAACCGCTCTGAAGGCTTTCAAGTATAATAGTGTAATATCATCAAGCAGAAGATACACACTAATACGTAATTCTAAGTCCCACAAGAATAACTAAATATGATATTCCCACCACAAAACAATTAAGAGTTTTTAGTTACAGGTATTCGTATCAAATATATTTGAAGGAGTAAGAGAAACTCATGATTATATATATATAAATATTGTTTGGTTATATACCAGGTTTAAAACGACTTGGAATAAGACGAATCAATGATGAGAAAAACTTGGGTATAAAGAAACAATTTAACAGAAAAAACATAACAGAAAGATATTATTACTGTTTGACTTTGCTATCTAGAATAGAATGGCGAGGTTTGTTAGAGACCGATATACATAAAGAAGTAAAAGAAGGAAAGGAGGAGAAAAAATATAGATTAGTTTAGACATAAAGAAACCATAAAATGTACAAATTTAAGCAGCATGTACCAGCTTGACATCAGCGGAGATAGTGTAATCTATAGTCGCTTAGATAATAACTAAGAAATCAATTATATACGAGAAAGAAGATATGTCAATATGAAATATGTTCACAGACTTGGTGCCAGATCAATCTCGAAAAAGAGATGCTAGTTAATTAAATATGTAAAAGATATCAACTTAAACAAGTAATATCGTTTTAAAAATGCCATTCTGGGGACAAGTTAAGCCAAATTTAGTACTGATCTGAGATCTTTGAAAATAATTCACGAGAAACGTTCAACAATTGTACATGACCGCAAACATTGTCTCCTTTATGTACCAGAATAGCCAGAATTCTCTCAACAATATTGCCAGTAACCTCAATTTCGGGGCTTTTCTGGAGATTTGGAATTCTAGAACAGTGCTTGATGTCCTGAAAGCAAAAACAAGTTACTTTTTTTATAATCCATGATTTAAAAAAGCATAAAAATAGGGAGTGTGGCCGAGTGGTTAAGGCGCCAGCTTCAGGAAATCATTCATTGGAATTTAATTACTAGAAGTTGCTGGTAACGCAAGTTGCGTGGGTTCGAACCCCACCGCTCTCAGATTTTTTAAAAAGCTGTCTGATTTGAAAGAAAATCATCATCCAATCTTATAGTCAAACGTAAAATGAATAATTATATTAAAGTTACAGGAATGACGACGTAGTTTAGTTTAAATGTGATTAAGAAAAACGAAAGAAAAAAGAAGAAAGAGTAGCAATAAATAGATCATTAATTCATCAGGGACTACATTAGCCAAACAACCGAAGATATGGCTTATATCATGAGACACAACAACATGATGTACTGGAGCTGTTATTGTTATTATTTGCCGGTCTCGTTGAAGGAACGGGTGCTGATATTGAGTTAGACGTTGAAGCTGAATCAGTTTGAGCCTCTGCGGTATTTGGCATCACGGCACTAGTTTGTTGGTTTTGGCTAGTAGACAAGACACGTACGGAATCAGACGTGCCGATCTCCGACATGGAGGCTGTTGTTGGGATATTATTTACTTCCGTACCATTGCTGATAATATTTATCTCACGGGGTGTTATGGCTGGGGCAGATACCTTTCGATGCAATCTCAAACGGAATTTACTTTGATTGGACCTCAAAGCATCAATACCAGTACCATTGTCAAACACGGCCGGGCGGACCGAAAGGTGTAAAATAACAATTTTACCTGTCTTAGTTCTAGTTGTTGTTGAGGGTGAGAGGTCTAGTGAATTACCAATATTATAGTCTTGAAATGTAAGATCATCATCCAAGATTTTCCCCAGGTAAATAACTCTTAAATTTTCAACGGACGCGGGCTTTTCACCCCACACCTCGGGGCGCCAGTCATCAATTAAGCAGGCCTTGATGGCTTTAAGCGGTGCTGAACAAACTATATTGGCAGCTGACTTTGGCTCATCGTTAATTTCTGCGAGAGAACTTATAATTTCCTGGTGAAGTTGAATATATTCATCATTGAGGTCTAGCGTGATCCGCTCGCCATTAGCCAATAAAAATACTAGCGATAATTCGGCCTTATCAAGTCCCGAGGACGACGTTGTGCTCGACGATGAAACAAAATCCATCTTGATTTGTATGTATCACTGATATTTTAATCAACAGCAGGACAATCCGATAAAGATATGATACTACTTTCTGCAATCAAGGGTAATGGGCGTTATGGTGGTGGTGATGATGATGATGATGATGGAGGGAATAAACACTACCGAGTTACCCGCCAGGAAACGTGGGTCAATTGAATGGAGAGAAACCCACAAACCGCTGGAGAAGAGTTTAAGACAATATAAATCAAGCAGATTCGGGTACATTTTTCCTTTTCTTTCAAGGCCAGCTCATTATTATTGACTAAAAAAAGTTCATTGATCGTTTAATATGACCATTACTACTCCCTCATCATTTTTGCTTGGCTCAGGTCCTAAAACGCTCGACGGGAAGCCGCTTAGCCCGCTGTCAGGGTCTATTGCAACTAGGATCCCCAAATGGAGTGAAAAATCACCCGATGTTGCCCCGGTCAGGGTTTCGTCCGAAAATATAGATTCAGATACCGATAGAAAAGCCCGAATAAGTCCTTCACACTCGCTAGAAGGTTTTAGTAGTTCTGGTGAATCTTTGTCAACATCGTCCACCTCTACATCACCATCCCTACCCTTATCATGCCGGGCGCTTATCGGCGCACCCGGCAATAATAGTGCATATGGATCTTTACCACGCGAAAATGAGGTGAAAAATAATAATTCAAAAAGTACAAATGAAATATACAATAATAATGAAAAAAATACGGAGAAAAAAAATATCCGGTTCCGGAGATACTCGAGTGATCGTCGTAGTGGTCCAAACTATCCTCGAAGGCCCTCGTTCGGGACTATCGCAGGCTCTGGCCGAGCTAAATCTTTTGAAGCCCATAATCATCTTGAAGATGGCGAAATGGCAGGCCCGTTAAATACAAATACCCCTCGAGCCTTGGCCGCAGCAGCAGCTATTACCAATGAACGCATTGGAAAATTTCTGATTGCTACTGGTCCATTATCTATCCGTCACATTACTACTCATTTATCTGTATCTGTGCCTAATTTCGCAGAGCTATCACTGTCAAAACAGCGTCGACTGATTATGTCAGTACTGGATGTTTCTTCATTAGGAGATGATGCAAAGTCCCCCTCTAATTCAAACGGATATTCATTTGAAAAAGTAGGCTGGGGCCGTTGGGCTGCTAAGAAGGTTTCAGGTTCCACCTCCGCAAAGACCACACCTATTATTAAAGCAATCTCCCCCAAACTCTCCTCCTCCGTGCCAAACCCTCGAAGATCCAGTATCTCATTTTCAGTCTCGCGAAAATCTAGCCATGGTACCAATTCTATTGGTAATGGTTCCAGTGTGATAGCTGGAGCTAGCTCAACCCATTCACTCACTGCCCCTATGTCGCGTCGAGAAAGTATCTCGGATAACTTGTATCAACGGGGTCACTATTTAAGCGTTCCCATTTCGCCATTATTAGGGGCTACAAACGCCGTTAATACTTCCACTCAAAATACATTAATTTCACGACCATCTGGGACAAGTAATGTTGAATCCCCCTTGCTAGAAGATGACGATATGTTATTGGACAACGAAACGCTATTTGATCGACGAGGCAGGGGTCATTATCTTGAGAGTGCTATTCTCGATGACGAAAGCGAAGCCAGTGAAGATAGTGAGAATAGTGATGATGATGTTGATGATTATCGTTCCAATTACTCTTTATATGCGCGATCGACGTTAACTACGTCGGCCAGGTTAAAGCAGTATCGAATCCACCAGGCAAACCGTACGCCATTGGCCGTGTCACAAAAAATAGTTGAAATCGGCTGTGATACCGATGAAGAAGACTGGCAAACTGTAGGTGCCGCATCTTTAAGAAGTGTTAGCAGCAGTGTCAACGAAATTCCTATAAGGTCACAATCTGTGAGCTTATCACCATTATTCTCATCCCAGTCAGTGTCAAGTTCTTATACAACACCGTCGCCATCATTGGTGCCCTATACAAATGTCGGTTTCCCATCTAATCCACATCTTAATAATGTCAAGCAAAGCAATATGCGCTATCACCAGCAGTTAGTGGGCCAGGAAAAGGAATTGGATGCTATTTCGGCATTAGTTAGTTTGAGCCAGTTTGGATCCTAGATACTTTAATCAAATTATATAAATCTGTTGTGAATGAAATTTTTTAATGCGTTATATCGGTTATTTTTAATTGGTCAGCAGACGTACTGGGGTATCACGAACTTTTTTGCTTGGGGTTTTTAAACATATTATTTGTAGGATACTCTCTCAATGTTATTTTATGCAAACCAGCTGGCATCAAGTGACTTGATACATTGGACTTGGCTGTATAAGTCTAATGGCTAATAATGGAGGATTTTGATCGAGGTAGCTTTAAATCAACTTTGGCTTATAATTACAAGCCAACTTGCTAGAAGCTTCCTTCTAGGCTACCTTGATTTTTATCTTTAGAGCCAAATTATTACTACGTTGAAACATCACTCTAACGTGGTATTTTCTTAGATATTTTAGATTTTTATTAAATAGTTAATTGGGATCCAAATTAAATTAAGCACCGAGGGCGGGGAATTCCTTTTCGGTAATAGCCTTAATAACGGGCTTAGCGGCCTTGGGTCCCTTAGCAGCGTTCTTTCTAGCAGGGGCACGAGACTCACGGAATTCACGTTGTTCACGGGGAGGTTGAACAAAGTTTTGTTCAATGTCAAGAATGACCTTTTCCTTTCTGGATCTGGACTTTTGAGACTTGACCTTAAGGGCACCAAAGAAATCTTCTTGTTCCTTCTTGACAATAGCGGCATCAGCAGCGGCTTCGATCTTTCTTTCTTCAGCAGTACGGGCGTTGATTTCAGAGGACTTGGTGGATAATTCAGCAAAGTATTGATCAATGGTCTTGGTGGGGACTTCAGGTTCGGTGGCTTCGGTGGCGGCAGCAGCTTCGGTAGATTCGTCGTTTTGTTCATCAGACTTGGCAATTTCTTCACCAGCGACTTCGTCATCTAACTTCTTGGAGTCATCACCCCAACCTTGGTGGACCTTCTTGATGGTATCGGTCTTGCCGGTTTGGGAGTGTCTATCAGGACGAGGGTTCTTGGAGGGAGGACCACGACGACGGGGCTTATCTCCAGAAAGAGGAGCAGCATCCTTAGCCTTGTTGGCAGCACGACCAACATTCTTGTTCTTGAAGGCAGCATCGTTACCATTGGGACCAGCAGTCTTCTTGTTTTGGGTCTTCTTAGCAACAGGGGCAGGAGCAGCGACTTCCTTGGCAGGAGCGGGTGCAGTAACAAATTCACCGTCGTCACTTAAGAGACTGAAGAGGTTCTGAAACGTTTTAATTAGTAATTGTAATTTGGCATAAATAAACTCAAGTATGGTCCATTGTCACCTATATATAAATACTATATATTCAAGGCCCATTATAAAATTGCTTATAGTACTTACCTTGGAAGCAAAGGACATTTTTAAATATGTATACTTTTGTATTAAATGTAACCAAATAGATCAAAAGACAAAAAGGAGAGATCAGAGAAAGAAACGGAAAGGAATTCCTGATGGTGGGTGAAAAATTTCGAAAAATGGAAAATTGAATGGCAATGTCACGTGCCCTTCCGCATCCTGGGACTCGTGCTTATGTCATCAAACTTAAAGGTAAACACAACTTTGAAGGTTTGTTTTGGAGATTTTTTAATAATAAACAATAAATATAGCAATTCACATGTATATACATATATTCACAATTGGGGTCAAGTTCATAATTTAGGTTACTCAGTGAGTATTCAACATCCCTTCCTCTTTGAACGTAATTTGCACAGATCGCAGTCCCTTGATATCCTGGGTCAAAGCTGCCTTGATACTCTCTGTAAGCCTATTCAGGGTCGATAGCGTGAGAGAAGGTGATCCAGGGCCAATAGTGATCACCATTGTTGTATTTAGGTTAGATCCCGAGGGCCTTAATGTCATGTCTGCTAGTGAGAGGTTTACCTTACCATTAGTAGAAACATCCGGCCCAT